TCTAATGTACGGGCGCCCGTGTCTAGGAGACCTGAATTCGAATTGTAAATGAGACAGAAGTTTTACAATTAGTTAAATTTCACATCTATTTTTATATAAATTCATAATACGAAGTTACATTATTCAACACATCGTAAAATGTTAAAAAAACTCCGCACGAAACAATGAATCCGAAAGAAACATTGAGCCTTTCTAAATTACTGTAATTGTGAATATTTTTCCATCTCAAAAATAATTATGATTATTATTTCATTTATTTTGTAAAATGCGAAACTAAGGTAAAGTATTTCTAAAATTTTATACGCATTAATTTGCATAATCGCTTATCCCTTCATTCTGCTTTTTATCTGCATTGTTAAATTCCACTTTCCTTTTACGAATTTGCACATTCACTGTATTTTAATAATGTCGAATAAGATTGACCTTATTATTGTACTGTTAACCTTGTTGTACGTTAACTTATTTAGTGGATGTTCTCTAAATGACAAAGTAAGTAGTCTGTCCTTAACATAAAATGAGCGTTTATATTATATTAGAAAGTACGTAACTACAGCAACTTAAAAAATTAAAATGTTAATAAGAATAAATATAGATAAAAGCTTTACACAGTTTCGTATTGTAATAAAATATTTAGCCATTGCGGAATCCAATATTAATATTTGATCGGTGTTTCAGAAACAATTACATCTAACAGGTGCTGAAATCACCTTATTTATCGTAAAGTTCTAAGTAGAAGAGGCTTCAGATGTCTAGACGCCGAGGAGGCGCCATTTTTAATGTCCTTTTGTTTTACAAGGAATTGACAAAATACCCAAACATTCGCGTTAAACCTCTTGTTAACTATAGTTGATTCCACTATAACACTGTTGATAATTCCGTTTTATATGAATTTAATATTATACGAGTCACGTAGATTTTACAAATACGTGGGCCGGACTGTGAACGGCTCACGTATTTGTAAAATCTAAGTGACTCGTACAACATAGAATTCATATAAAACGGAATTATCAACAGTGTTATAGAGGGGTCAACTGTACCTTCTTCATTTCTGTTCTGTTGAATAATGTTACTTTTTACTTTCCCTTGTGAGAGGGAATGAATAGAGATCGGTCAAAAAATGACCCACTTCTAAGAATTTTATATCTCCGGACTTGAGGGGAGACTTTTTTAAACGTCCAGAAATGAAAGAAAGGTTGGAAATATTCAGTATGCCAGTATGTTAGTGAGTGGGGAGAATATTATTTTATTCATCCTCAGCGAGGCTAACTCTCGTACTGTATTGTACCTGTTGTCAAAAATCTCTTCTGAAATTTTGCTGGAAAGTTTGCACTATAGTGGATCGATCCTTTTAAATTTTGTTGGTTAAAATTCAAGGGGGTGGAAAGATAGACAGGAGATCAATCGTATGACCTACCTATATCGAGGTTTCTAATTCTTTTTTTGGCCGGAAAAGTTACGCAACTCGTTGCTATATTTCTATCAGGTAATGTTCACCACGTCGGTTAACTTGTTCGTCATTTCAATGATTGTAATAATAAAGTACGTTTATGCAACATTCAATATTATCGAAACACTCAGATAACTTTTGTTGATTACCTTAGCGACGACAATTTTGTAGATTTTGGAATCAAGTAGATGGTTGATGTAAGGGAATTTCATTTGTTAATTGCAAGTACTTCTTTATGCATTTTTAATTAACTTTATAAAAAATTTATTTTCATATTTTAGAAGAAAGATATTCAACATGGAGCAAAGGAATCGGAACAGACATTTCAACCACTATTTGCTTTTCGTTGAAAGTGTTTCTTTTCCTTTATCTTAAAGTTATCAGATTTGTGGTTGGTGAAATATTGGAAAGAAGATTACGAAATAGATTAGGAAGACACATCTTTGTTACAATATGGTTCCCAGAATCATGCACAAGATCATGCACAAATCGACGTTTTGTGTTATTCGGAAGATTAATTTGACATGTTTTAATCTTCGTATTTATACATCTTTTAATTGGGTAAAATTAAAAGTTTATTATTAATGAATTTATTATCTTGCGCACAATACATAAAAGTCATTAATAAATTTTTACTCTCTGTAAAGTTTGATTGCAGAAAATTATATTTGTATATTTGCATGTTTTTGTAATTTCAATTTTATTCAATTTTGATGTCTAATTTTTAAATTAAATTTTAAAGTATAAAATAAAGGAGAAATTTAATGTTTTGTCCTAATTCTTGTTTAACCAAACACGTCAAAGATGAAGAAAAACGAAAAATTATTTATTGTTTCGTCGTCATAATACCGGAATGCAATTTTTAATCGTAATTTCAACTATATGCTCTCTGCCTGAAATTAGTCGAGTCTTGCCCCTGTATATCATACTGTTCCCGACGACAAGACAATCATGCCGGTCATCTAACTCTCAATTAACTATACTTTATAAGTGCCCCTTTCCATATCTGATTTGGACTTTCATCTATCTCACTCCGTTCTCGAGATTAAGGAAGGACAGACAAGAGGTGGGAATTTATAGGTCTGCAATCTATTTAAATTGCAGCCTAAAAACGGAAAACATAATAGTGTAATGCGAAAGATTACTTGGACACACAACAAATTAAGTTTTCGAAAAAAGCGCTTTTTTCACGAATTTTTTTTGTAAATTCGAACACGGCTAAATGTCCCGTATTGTGTTGTATTTCAAGTAGCCTAAATTTTATTCACAACTCCCAGGTGACCAAAATCTCATCATTAATCCGACTCTCTGATGATGAAAGTAATTAGGTCTTAAGAACGTTATATTGTCACTGTGAGACCCAGATGCAAAATGGAAGAAAGTCACGGAGAGCAGAGTTTAAAAGGGGAAGTGGCACGAGGTATAAAAGAAGTATAAAAGAACGCATAGTACGCTATGCCAGAAGCTTCAAACTGGTGATCCGAGGCTGAATCATATTTTCCCGAGGTAGCGGGGCTAACGTGGACGCGAAAACATGGACAAATATCTTTCATTAGTTTATTTTATATTTACAGAATTCGCTAGAAATTTGACTAAAAGTTTAACAGAGAAAACGTGTTTCTTAAGCCATTTCAATCTTTATATAAATCAAAATTTGTGATCATTCCGTGTTCTAATTATAATTTAATACTGCAAAATGATTCGTCACATACAACGAGTTATTCAGTAAGTGTCTTAGTGAATAACTCGTTGCATAAATTCGGTGGAATAAAGAAACAAGACTTTGAAAGTTCCTGTTTGAGGATAAGAATTTATTCTCTGAACAAACGGCTAATTTACGAAAATCGTACAAATTAAGATCGATTTGGCATTAAAACATCGTATGTTAACCGATTCCATTGCTGGAATGAGACAATTAATTTACACTGACATAAATTAACACTCGTAAACCTTAAAAGTCCAGTAGTAACATTTAATAACAAACAAAGTTTTTCGACCGTACTTTCGGTCTTCTTTCACTAACATAATTTGACGAGAAATAATAAAATTTGCAAATTATTAAATGCAGAGTAATACATGCGAAATACATACAAGATCAACACTTAGCTATTCCTGGCGGCACTGAATCACTAGTGTTCACTACACTCAAATTTCTTTTAGACCCTTCTGGAGACTACGGCTTTGCAGCCTAAAAACTGCACGCCAACATCAAACATGGAGGGTTCTGTAGCCATACGTACGCCGTTTAGAGGATCTTACCTTTCTCTACTGTCTATCACCGCTCCCTCCTTCTTCTCCTCCATTTTCCCTTGCACTCTTTTCTGCCGGCTAAACACTTCCTGCACGGCCGAAGTCTTTCTTGTATTTATGTATGTCTAGATTGATTTCACGCGCAAAATCCTGAATGGAGCATACACTGTGCAGTGTTATTTGCTAAATGAGATATGTTCTACATTTTCGCGTAAATTTTCTATCCCGTATGTCTTGCACGTTCCGTACAGAAGAAAAGCTTTGTGACAGAAGTCAATCCCGGATCGTCTCTTTCTACAAAGCATGAAACATAATTCACGAAACTGGAATGAAAAACCTTTAAAAAATCGATAAGAGAAACTTAGGCAACGAAATGTCTGAGGGAATGGCATAGTAATAACTTTTGAATTTCCTCGACGTGTAATTAAGTGTTCCATGATGTATGTAATGACTCTGTCGAAGTAATCTTCTGCAGCAACGATTTCATCGTTTTGTAGATTTCGAATGCGTATTTCATTGGAAGCCATTGTAAAGTGTTGGAGAAATTTCAGCAAGTTGCTTTGTAAAAATTACCTCTAATAACTAATTATTGTAATTGCTTAATAATATTATTATTATTGTTTAATAATAATATTTAAGCGGTTATTTTTGCAAACAGAAAGTATAATTATCTCTGGCAGAACTCATTTGTATTTATTAATTTTAAACCTACTTATTAGTTTATTTTTAATTTTTGCTCGTTATGGCATGTCAAAAATAATCAGTAATCAATACATAGCGTATTTGTGGCAGGACTCTCAAAATTTTCTACCTGTAATATCTGGAATAATTGTGCTTATGCTGCCTTCATTTTTAACCATGCCTAGTAGCTTCAATAACTGCGTAATGTCAGGTTGTGCAAATTGGGCAAAAATACAAATGAGTGTGAAGTCTGCATGTATGAAGTTTTTCTTCATAACCTGATTATTAAAGACGAACGTACTGCCGAATTATTGGGCTATGATGTTTATATTAAAGCAGTCGAGGTAGAAAAATCAAGAATACTAGAGGGCAATAGTACTACAATAATCTAGAAAACGAACTAGAAATCTTTCAGGCTACAGGTGAAAAACACATATCTGTCTTCTCTTAAATGCATTAAACACGATCTGAGATCTGTTTTTTCCCATTGAGTTGATATGATTTTCAAGTCATATTAATTAAATGGGAAAGGGCATTCTCGGAAGTATTACAAGAAAAACATTTTAATACTTTTTAATGCCCAACATGCAACAATTAAGCTTCCAGAATGGTCAACAATTATCGCGAATGTCCGACACGTCTGATGCCCTTTAACGTATTTAGTAGCCCCATTCGGTGCCTCGTAATTCAGACAAATGAGATAAGATAAAACATTTACTGAAATGTAATACAAAACTTTATTAAAAAATGTAAACTGTTCGACACTTCAAACAATTCGAAGGAGGTTAATTAATAAGGAAATGAATCATTATAACGAATGTCACGATGTAACTTTTTACTCTTCATATGAACAATTGAAGTGTAATTTGTAACTATGAATGGTATAATTCCTAGTTACATATGATCGATCAGTTAGATAAAGTTGTCTTTCTTTAAAATTATAGAACACATCCATAAGATGAAATTCTTCTTCCCTGTCGATGTACACTTCTTCACTATCGGTAATATGTGAATTTTTCTTTTCGTTTAAATCCGACAAAAGATAAACCTTTAACTTATCGCCATCAGAAAGGCAATAAATCTTGCCAAAAGCAACGAATTGATTTCTGATGAAACAATAATTTTGTTTGATATTTTGCTGCGACAAAACCTGTAAATCTTCCGGATTGGTTTGAACCGCCTCATAAGTATCCAAGGTAAGATTTATTAAGTTAAATATCCAGATATAATTCTGGTCTAAGCGGAATACTAAGGCATCGTAACCTGGAATATGACGGAGTTTCTCTCCTGTTGTCGATTCCCCAGTCTCAAAATTGTATTTGACGACTTTGTGTTGGTAACGATGTCGACTGTAATAACTTCCATTGTATATATATCCAAAATCTTTCGTTCTGTCAGGTAAAGCAATTGTCTTAACCAATTCATAATTTTCGTCTTTGTGTAATTTATATTCTTTTAAAATGGGCCTGTCTTCTTCCTTTATCAAAATTTTCAAACTGCCTTCGGAATCCTCTTCAAATTGTCTTGAAGAAAATATAACGTCTTTATAAAATCTTGTAAATGGAAAAGTTCCATGATATGTAATATTGTCGAGAGTGCAATCTAAAAAAAAAGCAAAAATATCAAATTAGTAATCGTATTTATGTATAAAATTCAAGTTTGAAATGCTGTATCAAGCATTCTTTCACGAGAGTATAAAAATATGTCATAAAATTAGTAAATTTTCTTACGTTTGGTTTGTCCATTCTTTTCTTTTGAATCACCATTTTCATTCTCTTTTTTCCCTGTTAATAAAATATTTACATAATGTATGACAAATTTCTTATTTCTTCAAAATATATAAACTTTAAGGACTTTAATCGAAAGAATTTTAAAGTATAACAAGTAAAATCTACGTCTCGGAAAGCGCAATACAAGCCTGTATTTAATTATCAGAATACTATTATATTGTGATTGTTAAATTATTAAAATTTCTAATACTGGGGTGTCTCATTCGGTGTAATGTGGAGTGAAGTCTGTTACTATATTATTATTATTCATTCAGCCAAAATTGTTTTTTTCATAGTTGCGTTTCCTTATTTGGGATTAAGGAAAAAGTATTCTACAAGTTCATACTCTTTATCCAGAAGAATTAATACGATTAATTTAATTGTATAACTAATCTATGATAATATATACATTTAATTACTATACCTTTTAATTCTGTTATATTTTTTTTACAAAAGTCTTCGGCGGTAAAACAATACTCGCAGAGATCAGGTTTCTTCATCCATGAAATTAGAGGAAATATAATTATTTAAATAAATATAAACAATTTTTTGATATTGTAATTTATATTGCTACCTGTTTACTTTCTTTAAAGTGATATATACAGTACTTAGTGTTAGTATTTAGAACTTTAATTACAGTAAATTGAATCGTAATGGTTCGATATATATTTTACAATAGACTTACTTTTATATTACACTTTCCATTCAGCGTAACTGAATCGTCATCTTTTTCGCATGTTTTAGATTGAAGGAGACAATTATTTCCGCATTCTTTTTCGACTACAGACGAAATTTCCCTTTTTTCAACTTGGTGAGGTGTAGGGTTATAATTGACGTTATCCTTAGTTTTCTCAGACTTGATAAAGCGCTCTTCTATATCGGGTGAAACAATTCGAATGTTGGAATATTGAAGTAAATAGATAAAGATAAAAGGTTGAGCGAGAACAATCAAATAAAGCAGCACTATCAGAAAAGAGAGTACTCTTATTTGATGTTGATAGTCTTTTTCTTTGCTGTTCTTCATAGTGCTATTTTCACGATAAGAAACAAATGTAATTATTGCATATCGAAATTTCATCATAAAATAAAATGTAATAATTTTATAAAAGATAAAAATATAACGATAAAATTATATATTCTTAGATATATACTTCTTACTCGATGGTAAGACTGCTACAGAATCAATATTTCAGCAATTACTGAAGCATGAAGTTATATTAATGATAATATATTATAGCATGACTCTCACATTCTCATTTAATCAGTGGAATTCAATGTATAAATTCATCGTATCGATGATATAGTGAATGAAGGTGATGATATAGTGAATGCAGTAATAGGTACAGTATATTGCATTATTTGCTTGAAAATACTACGTATAACACATGATCTTTACGTTGGTTTGCTATGAAAGGATCGCGTTTCGGAGGTAGTGTCAAAGCATTAATTGATTTAAACAGAGTCAATTTACTTAAGAAAAAGCGATTACGAGCTTAGATAGCCTCCAGCGTGATTAATATAAAAGTATTAATTCTATTTATACAGTCAACACACTTTAATACCGAGAACGCACATTTATTGAGCTAAACAAACGTTTTCAACCCATTTCATGGGCCATCATCAAGTTAAAGACGTTTGAGTCTAAGCAATTATCGAACACGTTAAAATTTAACATAACGAAATTAATACAATAAATACAAAAAACAAAACACGTAGGATAATACAATGAAAACCTGGGTTAATATATGAAAAATAATTACATATTGTATTGCGGGAAATTACCGAATTTTATATTCCTTTTTATATTATTTTGTTATTTGTATTTATTGTATTAATTTCGTTATGCTTATTTACGTAATTTAATTTCAACATATGTTCTAATATAATTTAAATTTAAACGTGTTCGATAATCGCTTAGATTCGAAAGTCTTTAACCTGATGATGGCCCATGAAATAGGTTGAAAACGTTTGTTTAGCTCAATAAATGTGCGTTCTCGGTATTCAGGTGTTTTGACTGTATATTGTTAAAGAATTTGAGTGAGAATAGGAGATTAATTCTTTTGTAATTATCAAATTAAAAAGCTTAGTCTCGAAGAATCTTGTTTTACTAAAACAAATATCTAATTAACATCGATTAAATAAGTAAATGTACTTACTTTTCGTTATCTCAGAAAAATCAAGCAAACATAATCATCCGTATTTCATACAAAAGAGAAGTATCAGCTATAATATCTTTTTCAACACGGTATTTCTTGGGATTTTGTTAGTATTAATACTCGAATAATCGATCGAGAGAGAAAGTAGACGATGTTTTTGAAATTAAAAATAACTACAACAGAATTGTACTGGCTATCAAACCACAAAACTCAGATAGAAATAAATGATTCTAGTGTGTAACTACTAACTCAATTGCGAGTATCCTTCATAGAGCTATATTTTATAGAAAAGTAATCGCTTCGAAGATAGGTTTTTCACCCTTTCGAGTGTGTGTTGCGAAATATCTTGCGTAAATTATTCGCAAATAAAAGCGAAGTCCAATCTAAATGAGTTTATATAATTTGTCAGTCGTTCAAAAAAAAAAATATTTTAGATCTAAACATTCGGCGATTTATAACAGATTCAATGTGACACTTTACTACAGTAAATATTAGTGAAATTATAAAATATTCTTAACTGAAAGGGTTTATGTTATATATTACATTTAAAATGAATTTATTATATCATTACAGGCATTTGCAATTTAAAAACTTCTATTACTTATAAAAAAACAGAATAAAATTACTCGAAAAGTTATGTGTTAATCACTTTTCTAATAACATCGAGCCTGTATTTCTTTTTAAATATAAAAGATAACATTAGTTGGTATCGTAATGTTTATAATTTTATTTCATCTCACTCTGTTATCGTATTTCGTTACGTCAAGAAATACTGTTTAGGATGGGTTTTTGTATTAATATTTTCTCTTAGTACTGTGAGTTTTTTAAATTTTATTATGTATTAAAAGATAGTTGTAATGCTTTTTACGAAAGAAATAAAAACAGCTGCCTTTTAAAGAAACACTGTTTTTATGTTTCAATTTGTGTATGATCTTGTTATAATTTCAATTTAATTATTCGAATTTGTTATGAACAGCTGCACTAGTGTTTCAGAAAGTAAAAGGATGCCATTTCTGATGAGGAATCTGCATAATGATACTCAAATTACGTGAAAGAAGGATCATTGAATGATGGTTACTTAGGTAAATTAATTGAAGGCTAAACGTATCTTCTAGTTAAAGTCAAATAGTAACACGCGGCTAAAGAAAGCAGTTACTAAATCTGTCTATCGAACAAACACAGCAAATTTGAACAGTTTATTTGAGGTGGATGTCGGAGTGTCTCAGGGATTCATATCTACAGCGTTGGGTTTATTGATTAAGTTGTACTATAATTTTTATAAGTAGAATTTTTGCGAATTGTGTTGTTTTAATTGTATCAAAAACAGCATTATATCATAACTGTTATAAATGTATTAGTAAGTAAGTTAAATCGAGAAACTGGAAACGATGTTTGTCGATGTAGTTATGCCTGGGCGAGCAGTTTGAGCAGTAATATGAGTTATGAACGTGTGGGGATGAAAGTCATAAATTTGGTTTCTTTTTCTTTCAACCCGGATAAGCTTTTGTTGTTCAACCGAAATTCACCAAACTCTGCTAAAATATAAACCAAGTGTCTGGCTTTACATTACAAAAAACAGCACCCAAAAATGTCTGAATACATTTTCGTTATTAAGCGTCAAACAGGCGAAAGTCGACTTTTTCGTTCTTTGAATATATTTTTTTTCAGCGATAATTAGATTTTGCAAGAAATAATTTATGCACATGCCAGTGTTATATTAAGCATTTTGACACCAAAATCATCACTAGATAATTCTCACGTTAGATTTACGTGCGATTTTTAGTCCTTTATTGTTTTAGTCACACGAAGTTGGTTAATACGGTTCTCTTCTAACTGGAAAATTTTTGTTCACAACTGTGTTAATTTATTAAATACTATCTGCAAGGACCCGCTTCGCTGGGTTTTTATTAGTGGGCAAAAAGTAACGATAGTGAACATTAAGATAATTACATTGTAGCCAATCTTACCCGTTTTCACAGAATGCAAGAATTAGGCCTCCCGTTTCCAGACTAATTAGAGACCTGGTCCCGATTCTATTTCTGAACGTCTCCTGTTCACGTCCAGTCAAACGAACTATTTTCAACGTTTCTGGAACGTTTATGATCGTTCTATAATCGAACCAATATTCGAATTTTATGTTTGAATTTAATTCGAATATTGTTCGAATTTATTCGAACAAATTCGAACAAAACATTCGAAATAGAAAGCCACTTTCAACCACTTTCAAGCCCATATCTCCCGCAACCCCCCTACTACCACATACAAACACCATTCACGTGCGATGTGTAGTTTTGGCAAAAAAGTTAAATATACAGACATACATGTCCATTTTTATATATATATATATATATAGATTATTTTAACTTTACAGTGAATATAATTTTCAAATAAAACATTTATTTAAAAATGTTATAATTCTGCAACTTAATGCCCACAAACTACGCTCTCACATTGGCTCTCTTGTGCAACAAATCTAAACCTATTCCGAACTAATATAATCAATAACTTTTTTCCAGTTTTTTTTTGCAACGGATTCGACATTCAAGGGTGTAAGTCAACCAAATCTTGGCTTAAGTACATTATTAAAGAGGATCAGGCTCCACTCTATTTCGCTGTTAGCTATTTATCATTTCACGTATAAATTCTTGTAGAGCCTGCATGAAGAGGTACGGCATTCCCGTAAAGGCAGGAATATCCTTTGTATTAATAAATACTAGGTCGAGGATATGAGGGAGAGCACGGCTTATATAACTTCGGGGGCGGTGCCGAGGGTCACGAGACCCGCGCGTCACCCCATTGGGCTCGCTGGCGCGCTGCATCTATATGTCTGGCTGAGGGCCACGTGGCTTGGTCGTCGTGTGCAGTGCCTTTTTCGGTATCGCATGCCTGAAATATGAGTTCCGAAGTGTTTCTAGCATAGCGACGTGGTGGGCCGGTGTGGAGAGAGGTGGACTACTACCAGCCAAGGTCCTGGGATAGGGTCATGGCTCAGGTAAGACGTATAATAATAGTTAGTTGTATTTTCAGGCAATGAATGGCGCTTCTGGTCGACCGTAGGCGGAAGACGTGGCCTGCAGGCCGATGGAAGTGGAAGTGGCAGCACCGAGAACACCTGGCGTAAGAAGACCTTAGAAAGAAGAATGTGCGCTTTTTTTTCTCGAACAGCAGACGTTTACCGAAAATGACGTAGTCGATTCTTTACAGGGCTATATCTCGTGAAGGGTCGAGCGTAGGAGTGTGGTTTCTTTGAGTGTTTTGTTCTTACAGAGGGTCTATAATTTGACGGAGTTGACAACTCCCTCATTCGGAGTTTGAATTCTGCCCACAAGATCACGTACTTGGCATTTTTAAAACTTTAAACGAGAATCTAATAATTATTTTTAGAATTTACAAATGGTATTTTATGTGTTTTAACAACCGACGGTGTATCGCTTTGTCTGCTTGCAACCTCATCGACACTAGCGCCGCACGCAGAGCAGATTTCACTTTTTCCCCTGTTGTTAATACAATAATGTTTCAGCATTTTGCATTCTGAATAGGTATTTTCATCAGTAAAATTGTAGCATAAATCACAGAAAAAAGTGGATGGTAAAATACAATGTCCACTTGGGGAAGTTTAGGCATGAGGAACCAGTTAAGCTAAAACAATTTTTATATCGACATATGTTAATTTTTATATTGACATTTCCAATTGCAACAAGATGGTTATCATAATGAGTCAAGAATTGTTTTTATTAAAATAGAAGTAATTCTTGACCCAAGTAGGACTCAACATGAGTGAGATATAATGAATTTATTAAAACTGCATTTCAGTTCCTCTTGCCCAGCCATTTGAGTAAGAGGTACCAAAGCCAAGGGCAAAAATAATCATATCTATGTACGAATGTACCAATATTTTATTAAGCAAAATTATAACAATACAGCAAGTGGGCATTACATTACTTTCTGCATGAATCACAGATGTAATTGCCACCCGAATAATCCGTACATTTCTCGTGAGCCCAGTCGAAGCAGGTCTACAGTAGGCGGTTAAAATACATCTCATTACAAAAAATGCAGTAGTAATTTCTGAACAAGGCGCCCACAGGAGAACGATGAGTTTCAGGTGCACTTGGCTTTGTAGACTGAAAAAATTGACGACGACAGGTTCAACTTGCGCTTAGCAGATAACGGTCAGTGGCGTATCGTAGTGGGGGCGGCAGGGGCGGCCCGCCCCGGGCGGCAAGTCTTAGGGAGCGGCAAAATTACCTTTTAGGGAGCGGCAAAATTTCACAATGAATAATAATAATATCTTGTAAAAATTTGAAAAATCCTAGTCTATACTTGCATCACGCCTACGATAGTGCTATTGTCCGGAGAGTCCGTGAATTGGCTCGCCGGGTGATCTAGTAGCTTTTTCATTTGAGGAATTCCTGCGAAATCTGTTGACCGTTTTTTTTGCCTGCACGATTCATTCGCGTCCATATACACCACTCATATCCAATACAACTATCTTCAACCGGTCGCTGCACTACCAACGAAGTTTTCATTGCTTGTTCTGTGACAAAACTGAATTTTGGTCTTTTAAATTGAAATACCTAAATAAGAGGGGGCCAAATTTTCCTCCGCCCCGAAAAAAGAATTTTAGTTTTGTGAGGTTATGCTTAGCATATTAAACAACATATTAACAAATTTAGAATCTTTAAAATATATATATATACATATTTTTAAATTAACCAAAATTATATTTACAATATTTTCAACCAATCTTTGCTTATTTCAACACTTAAGTTCTTATTTATACAATTTTTGGAGTTTATAATAGCCACAGTTTCTTTGAGTTTTCTATTATATGTGTTACCGGCCAAACCCGATTTCAGGCCAAACTGGTTTATCCTACACGTTTCAGGATATACTAGTTTAGCCTAGGACAATCTAGTTTGGCCAAAATACTTTAGGCTTAACTAGTTTGACCTAGGTCGAACTGATTTATTCGTTGCAAACAGTGATGTGACGGATATCCGTATCCATATCTTCTGATATCCGAGGGAAAAAAATCCGTACCTGTATCGGTATTCGTATCTGTTTCTTTTTAGTGGATCTTTAAAGAATCCTTTATCTTAATGAATTTCATCTTATAGGAAATTTTAAAGATAGGTAGCAATAAAATACTAATAACTTCAATTCAAATCACTTTCTATTTCTTAAAATCACATATTTGGCACATTCATATTGCAAAAATTTTATCATGCAAAACTCATTTACTATCGTAAAATATTTCCATGTTACACTTTTAAACTTTTTTGTCAGCATTGTTTTTATTTTAATTTAACTCAATACTCTCCAAAGATACAAACGTAATCTATGCTATCCCGTGTCACACTAAACTATAAACAAAAACACGTACAGTCAAGTCAAAACACGTCGCGTTACTAACGCAAAGCGTCAACTAGCAGTCCAAGGTTACAAGCACCAGAGCTGACTGAGTACGAAAGTTGAGACCCATATCCGTCTCTGCGGATATACATTTCTAACGGTCCGGCACAAAACTAGTTACAAGTGATAAAATAAACACGTTGGAACTTGTTAACGCTGGGATTCCCCTATTGTGCTTCTTACTATCACGCTTTTGTTGTCTATTCGCGTTTTTCATAAACTATAGAAGGTGCTGCATTTTTACAAAATGGCTACTTTATCTGGGTCGCTTGTAACTATAAATGTAAAATTAATCGTATATCACTGTCCGATGTAATGATATATGCTGCTTGTAGCTGTTTATCGAGAATTTTATAGGAGAACAATTATTGCTAGAGGGACACGTCATTATGTGGTATGACAAAACAAATGAGCCAGATCGTTCTATACATATTTCTGCCCTTTGTGTTAAAAAACATCAGCGCTGACATCCCCGCAAAATTATTGGCATTTTAAACATTAACCTGTCAGCATGTGCGTGTGCAGTCAAATAGAAATTATGCACCTTGGGTCAATCAGGCACGAATTCATAAAATTAATTAATAAAAATTTAACCTTGAAAAACAGGTAATTATACTTTAATCTAGTTTTAAAATATGTTTGTAGTCGAATTCAGTCAAAAAATTTTAATTTTATCATAATTTATTAAAGATTTTAATTTTTTAATATTAGAAGGTAATCAGCATCAATTAAAAGGTGACGTGTTTCATCTTCACTCCCGTTCGAGTTTACTGTTCTAGACAGGCGCTGATGTTCGTTTTTACTTTTACTGATGTTTTGGCTTTTATTTCAACGTCCCGCTCTTTGATTACAGAAGGTAAGGAGACAGGCGTCAAGTGATCGCTTACCTCACTTTTTACCGCAGAAATTTTCTGACCTTGAAAGTTTTATTTTTTTTCTCGATTTTAATTATTGTTAACTATCTGTTTTTGATTGATTCTCGTATTTGTGTGATATCTGAAGTTTCAGATATTTTGTTTATTAAGTTTTACTTATTCATTTTTTTTTCTTCGATTTTTATATGTAAAATAAAATGAAATTTAAAAATTAATTAAATGTTATCGGAAATGCTAAACTATAAGCGCAGTTTGTTTCAGAATATTATTGCGAACAGATATAGTCAATTATTTTATATACCTATTTATTATTTTAATTTTTATAAATTATTTAAATTGATGCGACGCGACGCGCTCAGAATGGATCACGAGTTAATCAATATGGCGGCGGGACTCGATTCAATTACTTTTTCGTCTGGGACGTTCAAAAAAGTGTATTATTTTAATGCAATTTTCATGTTTTTACTGATATATATAATTTCAACTTTTTCTTATTGACATCAGATTTATTAATTTTCACAGGATCGTATTATTTTTCAAATTCAGGGTAGTAAAGAGTTGTTTATTTTCTCCCGCGAAAGTAATAGACTCTGCCGGTCTCCCACTGTGAAGTACAATAATTAACTGCCAATTTTTTTTAATACTTAATTTTCAAAACTCCCTTCTCTGTCAGTAATGGGTTGAACGACTAACAAATTGTTTTCT